GGAAAGCAGGTTAACGGCTAGGATGGTAGCGCCGCTGAGTGATATCTCAACTTTCCAAAGTATGCACGGTTACCATGAATATATGTTGCAGACAAATTTGCTGACTCAAATAAGCTATGTACGCACAAGAGATTAGGCGCCTACGACATATGATATTATGGTCTTAGTGCCGCACAAGATTTGCAAGCATTCTCGTAAAATTTGTGCTGCCTTGCTTGTTTGACTAACAGAAGAGAAGGATAACGAAAGTGTTGCAACTTGAACACTTGACGTGTTTGCGTGTAGGGCACATTAGCAAGCAAAAGCTCATTTTATAGCTACATCTCGTACGCGACAGTTAAACTCCAATAAAAATTGTGGCTTCCTACTCCATCTGGTTACAGAGTCAAATAGGAGCCAAAACTGTCCAAAATGAAAATCCGCAAGATCTAAATGTGCAGCGAAAATGAATTCGAAGACTTCAGATCGTACAAGGCTAGCGAATATCTTCGCAAAATTTCAGCCTTATAGCATGACTGATAGTACTAACTGCTTCTTCACTACAAAATATTTGCCGATTCCGCATGCGTGATATAAGAGTATGAGAAATTCGATTTTAGATTTACAGCCCTGCACACAGACAATAAATATTCTCATAAAAAAAGAACATCCTGCTTAACTTAGCCCGAGTTGGCATCTTGCCAGTAGTGTCTCAATCTCAACTTTGGCATTTCCGCATATGTGACACAAGTACGCATCAAAGATGGATTTTCTCGCACAGGAGCACAGAATATCTTTATAAATTTTCAGCTTCCTATTTTGTCTAGTCCGAAAATTGTTTTTCCGCTAAAAAATTTGCATATTTTTAAGACTTCTGTGAGAGAGATCCGAAATTAAGTTGTCGCTCACTTTAAATTGGCCAAGTCACGCACCGAACAGAAACATCCTCTAGAAATTCCAACTTCATGGCTTCTCTGGTTGCTGAGTTGAAAGTGGGTGCAAAACAGCAAAATTCCTACAGAGGTCAATTTTATGCAAAAAAAAGACTAACCGGTGAAAATTTGCCATTATCGTTTTCCTTCTCAAGGTAATAGTAATATTGTGTGGCGGTGGATAAGCTCGCATTGCCCGGTGGTTTCCATTTGAGCTTCAGGTAATTTGGTCCTGCTTCCGAACAGAGGAGGTTAGGTGGCGATGGTGGTGGCGCTAACGTTGTAGCCGTTGCCCAAGCTGGAGCACCCATTCCAACTGCATTCACTGCACACACTGATAACCTAAACAATAGAAGAACTGAACCGTGAATGTGTGAAGAACGACAGAGATGGTAGGCTCAAAATGAAGGCGGAAATGGCTACCAGTCGGAGGGAATCGAAATGTGGTAAGGAAGATCAGAAAAACTACGACCCAATCTGCTTACTCTTTCACATTTACATGCAATTCACGAGAATTATCATTTAACGAATAAAAAGACT